CGAAAAGATATATATATATATATATTTAGGATTTCGATCAAGAAGAAAATGTAACGAGATCCCAGATAAATGATGAACCGAATCCAAGAAACAAATATGCATTAAATTTCTTGATGCAGAGACGAATAAGTCATATGAATGTTACTTGTCCCCGGAGGGTGCTGAATGGGTATCAGCAATTAATTTTGTTTTGTAATTATTTTATCTTTGCATTCAGGTATATATACAGAGATAGCATACAACGAAAATTAATTTTTAATTTTTGTCTGCGTGTCTCAAATATTGAAATGTAGTCCAAAAATGTTCATACTGAAAAATTATATAATTTTGTAGATATGGTATTTTCAATGTATTTTTAATAGATTGATTCGTAATGCATATAGAAAACAGCAATAAAGACAATTCTCATCTAGAAATTTCATCAGCACACGAGGCTGTTGATAATACAGATATAAATTTAATTAATTTTTCATCAGTATTAATCATATTCAATAATTATATTCATTCATGATGAATATATGGAAAAATTAAAATATGATATATCGATTAACATTAAAGTAAATATTAACAATTTGAACAATTTAATGGTTATTGAACAAAATATTAACAATTTGAACAATTTAATGGTTATTGAACAATTTAATTAAGAATTCATTTTGTATTAATGAAGTTCATGTGTTTTTACAGAATCGTCACAGATCTCTGTTAGTGATAGAGGACACATAATAAGCAAACATTGCTTTTAATAAATTTATATCGTCAAGAATATGCAAACATGAATAGTAGCAAAATGGTCCTACGGAAAACGTGTGGCAATTGGTTGCTGAAGGAATGAAAAAAAAAAAGATTATAACATTCCCATGTGCAAATGTAAACTACTAAAATGCCTTAAAACATTAATATAAAAAGATTATTGATCACAATGATTAATCAGACAATGATTTAATGACTTATAAATATTTTGATGTAGTGTATTAATTGTTTATATTTTATTTTTTTGAAAAATCTTACTTATTTCTTGTGTTGTAATCATAAATTTTATTGTTTTTAGGAATTTGATGAGATTTTTAGAAAGCAATTGGGTGAAACCAGTTGCGGTTGCAAGTTCTGCAATTGAATTACAAGATTCAATGTTTGAAAATATAAATGAGCGTAATTTATCTCCAAGTAAGTGTTGTTCAGGGATGAAATACGTATATGTATATTATTTGCAATAAATATATACAATGCAGTATAATGTTGGTGTATATTATACACTCTGAATTTACAGATGCAGGATCAAAACGTAACAAAGATGAAATTCTAAAAGAGATGTTAGAAGAAAGAAAAAACAAAGTGGCAAAAACGAAAGAGTACAGAAATCAAAAACTTATGAAGGAAAAAAATCGTTAAAAAAAATAATGAAGGTAAGAATGACATCTTGCATGGTATGTACTTGTTATGTACTTATTCGATAATTTTTTTTTTATACAGTAATGTATAAAGCTTATATTTTACGTGAGATCGATTCACTAAACAGTTGCAATTGCAAGCATAAGTCAACTTTGCTTGATCGACATGACATTTGGAGTGATGCTAGATGCAACAGCAATTGGATTCATTGTTAACCGCCATTATTGGCATGTTTATTTTTTCGATATGGTAATTCTTCATTCATTCTTCAGTCGTCGAGTTATAACATCGATGTTATGAAACTGGTCAATCATAGCTATTATTCTGTAGAATGAAATGATTGGAATGACTATTTTCATAACAACGATGTTATAATTTTGGTGTAAATTTGGTGTAAACCATAGAAACATACTTATTATTATTATTATTACAGATTTCATAATTGAAGGCTGAAGGCAACAATTGATACCGATATTAATTCATCAGCATGTTATAAATAACATACAGTAAGGAAAAAAACTAATGAAAAAATGTGAACAATAA